CGCGAGTATCTCTCTCCCTAGAGGTGACAACTCTGCCTCAGTTTCCCCAATGTTTCTCCGTCACACCTCTTGGCGTTTTTCCCCATAGCCACCAGAGGGCGCCAGAGCCCGCCAAGCCGCGTAGGAGATGGAAACAAGGCCTGCTGCTGCCACCTCGCGGCCAATTCCAGGAATGAATCTCGGTACCCTCATTACCCAGCGACTCTGCCCATCTGTATAAAAATGGGCTTAGCTGTAACGGTCCGAAGATGAGTGGCTAGGAAGAAACATGCCTCTTGAGGATGGGGACAGTGGCTCATCCCTGTAAGCCCGGCACTTCAGGAGGCTGAGGTGGGAGGGTCACCTGAGCCCAGGAGATTGAGGCTGCAGTGAGGTATGACTGCCCCACTGCACTCCAGCCTGAGAAACAAAGTGAGACCCTGTCAAAAAAAAAAAAAAAAAGAAGAAGAAAGAAGAAGAAATGCCTCTTCTTAGGAATGGGCTCCAAGCCAGGATTCCATGCCCCATTAGTGCCATCCTCAGGTCACGGCATGGCCTCTGTGGTCTGTTTTTCTCTCTTTGTTTAAAAAATAGAGGCCAAGAAAAAAAAAAAAGAGGCCAGGGAGGTTGCAGTGAGCCAAGATTGCACCACTGCACTCCAGTCTGGGCAACAGAGCAAGACTCCATCTCAAAAAAATAATAATAATAAATAAATAAATAAATAGAGGCCAGGAGCGGTGGCTCATGCCTGTAATCCCAGCACTTTGGGAGGCTGAGGCGGGTGGATCACTTGAGGTCAGGAGTTTGAGAGCAGCCTAGCCAACATGGCAAAACCCTGTGTCTACTAAAAATACAAAAATTAGCCGGGTGTGGTGTTGAATGCCTGTAATCCCAGCTACTCGGGAGACTGAGGCAGGAGAATCGCTTGAATCTGGGAGATGGAGGCTGCAGTGAGCCGAGATTGTGCCACTGTACTCCAACCTGGGCGACAGAGGGATACTTCATCTCTAAACAAATAAGTAATAAAAAGTAGAGACAGATTCTTGTTATGTTGGCCAGGTTGGTCTTAACTTCCTGGCCTCAAGCAATCCTTCCTCCGTGGCCTCCCAAAGTGCTAGGATTACAGGTGTGAGCCACCATTCACAGTTCCCTGTGGTCTTGATGGCTTCAGAAGACCTGAGTTCAGGACCTGGCCACTGCCCACTGTGCCCTTGGGCAAGCCCCATCCCAACTGGGAAATGGCATCCGTAAACTTCCACGGGCGGGTAACGCCAGGGCTGGGAAGGTGTTGTGGATGATGATACACAGAGGGGTGTTTTTGTGAAGCTGGTAGGGTCTGCTGTCTGTTCTCAGAACACACGCTCTGCTGTGTTCCCCACTGGCTCCAAGAGCTCAAGGTCAAGGACTCCAGGAAGTAAGAATGGAAGGAGTCCTGAGAACAGCAAGCTCCCTCCTCCCTGGGGAGAGTGAGCTCATGGGGAGGGTGCTGGTTTGCTTTTGTGTGTCTGTTCATTTTTTTTTTTTTTTTTTGAGACAGGGTCTTGCTCTGTTGTCCAGGCTGGAGTACAGGGGTAGGATCATGGCTCACTGCAGCCTTGAACTCCTAGGTTCAAGTGATCCACCCACCTCAGCCTCCTGATTAACTGGGACTATGGGCACGTGCCACCGTGCCTGGAGAATTTTTTTTTAATGTTTTGAAGATATAGAGTCTCACTATGTTGCCCAGGCTGGTCTCCAACTCATGGGCTCAAGTGATCCTCCGGCCTCAGCTTCCCAAGTAGCTAGGCCCACAGGTGTGTGCCACCACACCGGCTAACTTTTGTATTTTTTGTAGAGATGGGGTCTTACTATGTTGCCCAAGCTGGTCTCCAACTCCTGGGTTCAAGCGATCTGCCTGCCTTAGCCTCCCAAAGTGCTGGGATTACAGGAGTGGGCCATGGCTCCCAGCCATTTGTGGTGTTTGAAGTCACCAAGTGTGTGGTTATTGGTCACAGCTGCCCCAGGACACTAATACCTAGATTTAAGCCAGGTGTAGTCAGGGAAGAGCAACAGTGATGGGGCATGTGGTGACCTGGGAAGTCCCAGGGTTTCCAGTCCGTGCCAGTGTCCTCATCTGTAAGATGGGGTGGGAGGCTGGGCTCTTCGGTTCAGTTAAGGGTGCCCCGTACTGTCTAGCATGGGTGGGGCCCACTCCATCAATCATCAGCCTCAACAGCTGCCATGGGAGATAACGGCTTCTCCTGGGCCACGGGGCTGTGCTGGTGGGTGATAGCAAATGACCAAGAGAGCCATGTCCTGCGGCTGTTCCCTGGCCAGCCCCTGTGTTTGGAGGAGCTGAGAGCAGGAGACCTAGGTTTATCTTGCCCTTTGGGGAACTGGGGCAGGCCTGGGGCCCTCCCTGGCCTCAGTTTACCCATCTGCAGGATGGAGGTTCTATCATAGCATGCCCTCCCTGCTGCCCCCTCCTGGCCAGCCGAGGCCATGCGGCCTGCTGCTGCTGCTGCTGTAGGGAGCAAGGTCCACACCTGGGCAGCTGGGCCCAGCACACCCGCCCCACCTGTTCCCACCCTTCCCCTACTTTCCAACGCACTCAGACCAGTGAAATCTGGACTAGGGCGGCACAGGGCGAGCCCCAGGTGAGAACAGGGCTTCCGTGTCAACAGAGCTGGTTTGAATCTGTTTCTCATTGACCCTTTATGTGAACGAGAACAGTCGCTTCCCCCGTGAGCTGTCAAAAGGCGTCGTGCCTGTCTTGCTAGTGAGGAAACTGAGGCTCAGAGAGGCGGAAGACTTGCCCGAGATCACACCACCGGGACCCAGGATTCAAGCGCAGGCCTGCCCCATGTTTCCCAGGCTCTCTGTGGCCTCCTGGCTGCAAGGAGGCAGCCAGGGACCAGGTGCCACCCTTCTGAGGTGAGGCAAAGAGTGCCCGTCCCTTGGGCACATCTAACTTGGTGAAGGTCCCGGCGGGTGGGTTGTGGCATGAGTCCAGCTTGCAGGGTCTGGTGTGGGCAGCAGCTCTCTGCCTTCCCCCCAGTTCCTGGTGGGCAGCCCCAGCAGAGCCCACCCCAGCTTCACTCCCCTACGTGCCGCCTGCCAGTTGGGGTCCGCTGCATCCTAGGTCCTGGGCAAGTCCCCTCCCCTCCTAAACCTTAGTTTCCTTGTCTGTGAAATGGGGACCTGGCGGCAGTGACATCTCCTACACCTGCTGATTGCTAAGTAAAGTCCTGCGTGGGCAGTGCCCCCGCGAGGAGGACCCACTGGACCACACGGCTCAAGTGGCTCTGGATTTCCTCGCAGGTGCCTGAGATCCCAGGCCCGAGAGGATTAAGGCGGGATTACTGACTGAATGCCGGAGGAATTAGGGCAGCTGGGAGATGAAGCCGTTAGGCCCGGCTGCATCCCATTTCCTGCCTCGTTTCAAGTCAACGTTCCAACAGCACTGCCTGGCTCGTCTTGCTCTCATCCAATGGACAAGCACACAGGCTCAGAGAGGGGGCGTGACTTGCCCAAGGTCACTCAGCTTGGATGCTGTGGAACAGGGACACCCACTGTCCCAGTCTGTTTATGGGAAGCCGCTCTGCAGCTGCCCTGACCCACCACGTGCCCCACCGCTGTTTCCTTGCCTTGACCCCTTGTTGCCTGGACCAGGGTGGCACAGCTCCAGGCTCTTGGGCCCCTCGCGGAGGACAGGAACCTGTGACTCTGTCCCCAAAGACCTGAGTGACTGAGGGGGCCCCACAGAGCTTGGGCTTCCTGGAGGACGAGGAGGGATCTGCCAGCCACCTGCACCACCCCGGCCCCAGGGCTCCCCTGGAGCTACCATGCCAGCCGGACTCAGGTGGGTCTGTAGGAGCACCGTGCCTCTAGTCAGACTTTGAGATGTGCCCCCTGCTCCCACCGTGCCCTCCCCTGCCCAGGACTCTGGTTGTAAACCCTGACTAAGGGGATTTTATCTCCACCAGGGGCCCAGTAGGTGGGAAGTGGCTTAAATAATGCAGGTTTATAATCTCACTAGAGGTCAGAGGAGTCTGAAATGGGCCTCATGGGGCTAAAATCAAGGTGTCTGCAGGGCCGTGTTCCTTCTGGAGGCTCCAGGGGAGGAGGGGGAGGATCCAGTCTGTGCCTTTCCAGCTTCTAGAGGCTGCCTGCGTTCCTTGGCTCGTGGCCCCTTCCTCCACCTTCAAGACAGCAGTGGAGACCTGAGTCCTTCTCATGCCATCTCTCTGTTCTCTCTCCTGCCTCCTCCTCCACACTGGAGGACCCTTGTGATCACACTGGCCCCCCAGTGACCCAGGATAATCCATCTCCCTGTTTGAAGGTCGGCTGATTAGCAACTTCATTCCACCTGCCTCCTTCATTCTCCCGGCCACGTAATGGGATTCACAGCTTCCAGGGATTAGGACACGGACATCTTGTGGCGGGGGCATAATTCTGTCGACACCACCAAGAAACACTTGGATGTTAAGCATTCACTGAACACTGTTCAGGCTCCAGGTGCTGGGAGCAGCAGTGAACAAAGCCAACACACACCTCCACCCTCAAGGAGTTCACGTTCATGGGCGAGGGAACGGATGAAACCCGGCAATGAAAATAAGTAGTGTAATGACTTGAAAAGTGCAGGGGAGAAAGAGAAGATGGATGGAGAATGACACCTGGCCCCTTCTCTATTTCTTTTTTTTTTTTTTCCACTCTTGTTTCCCAGGCTGGAGGGCAATGGTG